GGCGGGCAGCCCGTGTTCCAAGCCAAAGGCGGGGGGGGGGGGGGGGGGGGGGGGAAAACTGCGAGCAGCCTTCCCTCCCTTCGACGGGTTTTGGCAGGCGATTGTCAAAAAAGACAGATTTCTGCTTCCTTCCCAGCCACGTTTCACAGCCGTGCCGCCGTAGGGGGGAGAGGGGACATTTATTGCCGTGAGCGCGCAACGGCCTGGCCCTGGGCACTGCGGGCCTCACTGTAAGCTCTCCCCCCATGCTGACTCCACGCCAGAGGGTGGGAGGCTGCACCTGAGGGCAAAAGGCCTTCATGGCTGCCCCCAGAAAATGGACAACCAGCCAGACTTCCCTCCTGACCCATCCTAGGGTCATCTTGCCATCCTAGGGTCTGGAGAACAAGTCCTATGGGGAGTGGCTAAGGGAGCTGGGGCTGTTTAGTCTGGAGAAGAGGAGGCTGAGGGGAGACCTTCTCACTCTCTACAACTACCTGAAAGGAGGTTGTAGTGAGGTGGGTGTTGGTCTCTTCTCCCAGGTAACTAGCGATAGGACGAGAGGCAATGGCCTCAAGTTACATCAGGGGAGATTTAAATTGGATATTAGGAAAAATTTCTTTACTGAAAGGGTGGTCAGGCGTTGGAAGAGGCTGCCGAGGGAAGTGACGGAGTCCCCATCCTTGGAGGTGTTCAGAAAAATGTGCGGATATGACACTTCAGGAAATAGTTTAGCAGGCACGGTAGTGTTGGGTTGACGGTTGGACTTCATGAACTTAGAGGTCTTTTCCAACTGTAATGATTCTATGATTCTATGATCCTTCTAGACAAGCTGGGACAGAAAAAATAATTAATTTTGAGCAAAAGCAGAGAACATAAAGCTTCTTCTTACAGACTGTGGTAGTGACAGCACTGCTCCAGAAAGTCAACCAGCTTGAAAGAGGAACCTCTCAAGGCAGATTTACGGTGGCTGCTAGGTCATGCAAGGATAAGCTCAGCTGGCAGGCCCTGCTCTCCACGAAGGAACAGAGGAACTGTGAAGGGTATAGCGGAGAGGCGGTTGCCCGGCCCTGCAACTGCTGCCTGGGCCCGTGGGCATGCGGGGATGGCACCCCTCCTGGGAGGGCGGCAGGGCCATCCACCATTGGAACATGCCTCCATAGCAGGGAAGGGGAGGCTGAACCCAGGCACTGCTGGAGACTCTCAGGCCCTCCTTGGCTTTCAGTGTTTAATGCCCTTCACAAAGAGCTTCCTTAGCAGCTTGGAGCAGCAGATCTTTTTCTGGCTTGTGGCTCGCCCCAGGTCAATCGTATAGGAAAGCCCATTCCTAGTGCAACTCCTCTTTTGTGTTCCCACCACAAGAAGTGAAATCCCAGAATCTGGTTTGCAGAGCTTTGCGGAGCAGAAATTAACCCATGGTGTCTCGCAGAGAGGCAGAGAGAGAGCTGAAAGGCACTAAAAATCAGTCCCACCATCTCCTCCTGGTAGGGTTTGGGAAAGGCAATGCAGGGATGCAACAGCTCACTGTGGAGCTGGATGTGCTGACAGGATTTTTTGGTCTCTAGGTTGTGTAAAGGAGACAGAAATAAAATAATTTTCAAATTTCACATACCTACAATGTAATAACTGAAGCAGCCTACCCCCGATGTTTTCCTGTGCTGGGTTCAAGAAGGAAGGGAGGAGGCTTTGGATCACCGGCTTGCTTTGTGCCATCTCAAGCCCCTTTTCCACTCTGCTTGGGGTCAAACAGCCTCTTACACATAGGCTTTCCCTCACAAAGTCTCTGGGGGAGAGAAGAAATGGCACTGGCATCTGCCGCGGCCACAAGGCTAGCAGCATCAGTGTTTGGAACCAACAGACCGGGACGGCCGATGGCTTAGTTCACATTACCATGTTCTGGGCTTTCTGATACAGATCAAAACAAATATCATACCCAGGGGCAAACGAAATGCCAGTGAGCACTTCACCTACTTAAAAGCTTCATTATCTTAAGCTTAAGATGCCCAATACCTCAGCTGAATTCATACCTGGCTTTTTTGTAGTCAGCTGCGTGGATATCGTAGGAAGGTAAGAAAGCAGATGCTGAACATACAGCCCAAACTGGCATTAGAACCAGTCACATGGAAAAGTGCCTTTAAATTCTGAGTAAGACAGAGGAAAAAAAGACTGCCAAAGTCAGAGATACCCACAAAAGCTAAAAACATTCTTAGGGCACTTGTGACACGCTGCAAAAGCCTGCAGGTCAGCAGTCCACCAGTCTAACATGACTTCTCTGCAGTCCACCCAATCAAGTCAACCACTTTGCTGGAGGCAAATCCACCTGAAAAATCAAAGCTGGAGACAGCTGCAGTGACTGAGCTCCCAAAATGAGAGGCATTTCCAAGTACAATCTGCGAGACTTCAGCCAAGTGCTTACATCTTTGTTGCCCATGGTCTTATTATTATTATATTACATTATGTTCATGTGAAGTGGCTTTCTGTCTAATCTGTGGACTTCTAACAGTACTTCTACCACTTCTCGAAGTCATCTTACACTTTTTGGAGGAGGAAATTTCTGGGTTTTGTCCTTTTGGGAGGATAAAGGAGGCCATATATGAAGTACTGTGTCCAATTCTGGGCTCCCAAGTTCAAGAAAGATGAGGAACTACTGAAGACAGTCCAGTGGAGGGCTATGAAGATGATTAGGGGACTGGAGCTTCTCTTGTATGAGGAAAGGCTGAGGGAGCTGGGCTTGTTTAGCCTGGAGAAGGCTGAGAGGGGACCTTGTAAATGCTTATAAATATCTGAAGGGTGGGTGTCAAGAGGCACAACAGGCACAAACTGAAGCACAGGAAGTTCCAGCTGAACATGTGGAAGAACTGCTTCACTCCCAGGGCGATGGAGCACTGGAACAGCCTGCCCAGAGGCGCTGTGGAGTCTTCGTCTCTGGAGATATTCAAAACCCTCCTGGACGAGGTCCTGTGCAGCCTTCTCTAGGTGACCCTGCTTTAGCCGGGGGGTTGGACTAGATGACCTCCAGAGGTCCTTTCCAACCCTGACCATTCTGTGGTTCTGCGAAGTTGGCAAATTAACATGTGTTAATGCAGGTTTCCCTTTTTAACACTTTTTTAAGACCAGTCTCAGTTCTTAGGATTTTTGTTGTTATTTAACACAGAAGACAGGAAATGAGGCCTCAGACCAGCTAGAATTCCTCCTTATCCCCCTGCTATTGCAAAAAGACCTTGGAAACCATCTGTGGGCCTCTAGAGGTAGGTATTTTTCTGTGGTATCAGAGCTATCAGATCAGCCTTTTCTTTATTCCCAGCGAAAATGTGTACAACCCTGGCTGAGCAAGCTCTTAAGCACCTTGTTGTGCTCTAGCATGACAGGCGATAACCTTTCTTTGCCACCTCCCAGTCTCTACAGCTCTCCACGATGTGATGGGGACTGGAGCAATACACCTACGCTGAGTCTTTTAATACCGACAGCTGGTAAGTCAGGTTTCAGTGTACACTTCCCAAAAATCATATGGCTTCTGGGTGAGTCACATCAGCAACATTACCCTTCCCTTTGCAGTTGGACTCCTACGTACGCCACGGTTCGCTGTGCAGCCAGAGTTCATTTGCAGAAGGCATCGACATCGTGAAGAATTAGATTGACAGGGTTATGTTAATTGCTACAATTGTACTTACTCGCATCGAATCTCTGTGGAGTGTGTGAAGCATACTTCGGGTCTGAGTGGCTTCGTGTTTCTTCCATGTCTGATGATCTCTGACAGCCCCTCAAAATGCTCTGTCTGAAAAGTTCTGGAAGTTCACTTGCTGCTATCGTTTTAAATAAAGATAACTACAAGCTTGTTTTTGTTTTGTCCTCTCTTCACCTGTCTTTCCAGTTCTTTCTGACATGAAGGAAAGTTAGGTGGCAGGAGAGAAAAATTCTGACTTGACTCATTCAACAAAGACTCAGGTAACAGAAAAGGCTTGAGTAATTCATATTCAAAAATATTTAATTTTCAGATGTTCATTATATGTGTTAAATTCTTGGTTACAGCAAAAAGATTGTAACATACAGCATCACAGTGACATATAATCAAGCCATAACGGTGCAGTTTATTACAACTGTGTAAACAAAAAGAAGTACTTCTGTAATGGCACTCTTCATGAACCAAATTCTGGCATACAGAATCTCAGCAGAAGTCAAAAGAAACATTTACAAAGAAAAGAAAACTGCAAATTGAAGAACAGTAAATGAACCTGGCCAAAATGGCCCGATCCACATTTTATAAGAGACAAAAGTATCCTCAGAATTTTTGCTTGCTTGCTTTTGAGGAAATTCAGTCTGAATTTCTTCAAGGCATCCATCCAGCATGTGAAATATTTTTGCTATTATTGAATGATATGAACAAAGAGTAAAAATCTCTTAATTATGACCATGTGAATACTGTGACATTGTTAAAGGAGATGTGATCATTTGGGAATGTTATTTTCTGTATAGCATGATACCTGCAAAAGACCTTCCTTAGGAAATAAAAAATAAGTTATTGAGAAATAAAATCCAACATGCTCCACCAAAGAAACATTTTGTGCATAAATTGCTAATAGAAAAAGTAGTATCTTACTTTCCTGTAACAGAAGTAAACAATTTGATTATAAGACAATGTACATACTGTAAACCGTCAGATGGGGTTTGAACTTGAAATATACTGATCGCAAACAGATTTTAAATATTAGCACCTAAAATTTAATGCAGGGATTTAAACAATTTTTGTAGCTTTCAGGTCATGGATTAGTTATGGCTTGCTTAATGGATACAGTTTTGCCAGCAACATTTTAGTGTTCCGTGAGATCCTCTTCATAAAAACACATAGTCTGAATGCCACGACATTTTACATGTGTACCTTTCATACGGGAAGTTTTGCATATGTTCCATCTGCAGAGAGAAGGCCCCACAGCAGCAGGAGGTATAGCTAAAGCAAAGGAGTTACAGTTATTAAAAAATACTGGAAAACTTGGAGTACATGATATAATTACAAGCTGGTATCTTCAGTTACAGAAAGCTATAAATTTGCTTGTTTAAAAAAAGACATCCAACATGTGCTTACTCACATGCTGACACAGAGTTCATGCAAACTACTAAAAAAAAAACCCCTTCTAAATTTTACCCTTCAGAAATGCTGCATATACTTCATCCTCAAATAGACTGAAGCCCCCTCAGAAACAACAGCGACCTAATGCGCAGATCGACTCAAGCAACTTTACTTGCTTCCTCTGTGATGAGAAGTGAACAGCAGTATCAAAGAGGAAATTTCACTGAATCCTACTTCATTTCAAACACTGTTAAGTCCAAATCCAGGTTCACTTGTCATTAAGCGATAAGGCTACCTTTGGAAAAAAAAATAAGTTATTTTCTTGGAGGAAGGACATTTTCTTCGTAATATCCCGGGTTTACTACATTTCCAGCTGGATCATATCTAGCCACCACAAACGTAGAGCCATCACTAGCAGATGCTTTACCGACACCCATCTTTTTTGTGTTCTTCCAGACCATTGCTGTGAAGTGACCTGAAAAGAGACAGAAACATACTCATTCGGTTTAGGTGCTAAACCTATAACATTGCCTTGAATGCGAGGGTGGGGAAAGAAAGAACAATATAAAACTATTTGCTTCTCTAACAGGAGAACAAGCTAAGGACATGAAAAGAAAACTACATCTAGCATTTTGTCTGGAAAAAACCCTGATCTGATCTGGTTCCACACTACTATTCCCAGCTCCATGTCCTCTGGCCAAATAAGAACACCTAGTAAGAGCATCATGAAAGAAGTAGTTTGATGAGTATCTGACAGAAAATTCAACAGAGACATCACGGTCTTCACTCCCTGCAGTGTGAATAGCAGTTCTGACAGTGACTACCATATTTAAGAAGAGGAAGAAAATCGCAGGGGGATAAAGGAGTGAGAACATGTGAGTGAAACAGCTCTGCAGACACCAAGGTCAGTGCAGAAGGAGGGGGAGGAGGTGCTTCAGGTGCCAGAGCAGAGATTCCCCTGCAGCCTGTGGAGAAGACCATGGTGAGGCAGGCTGTCCCCTACAGTCCGTGGAGGACCCCATGCCTGAAGGAGGCCCATGCTGGAGCAGGCTCCTGGGAGGTCCTGTGGCCCCGTGGAGAGAGGAGCCCAGGCCAGAACAGGTTTTCTGGCAGGGCTTGTGACCCCGTGGGGGACCCACGCTGGAGCAGCCTGTTCCTGAAGGACTGCACCCTGTGGAAGAGACCCACACTGGGGCAGTTCATGAAGAGCTGCAGCCCATGGGAAAGACTCACGCTGGAGAAGTTTGCGGAGGACTGCAGCCCTGGGAGGGACCCCAGGCTGGAGCAGGGGCAGAGTGTGAGGAGCCCTCCCGCTGAGGGGGAAGGAGCGGCAGAGACAACGTGTGATGAACTGACCGCAACCCCCATTCCCCATCCCCCTGCGCCGCTCGGGGGGAGGAGGGAGAGAAATGGGGAGTGAAGTTGAGCCTGGGAAGAAGGGAGGGGTGGGGGGAAGGTGTCTGAGGATTTGGCTTTATTTCTAATTTTCCTACTCTGATTTGATTGGTAATAAATTAAATTAGTTTTCCCCAAATCGATTCTGTTTTGCCCATGATGGTAATTGGTGAGTGATCTCTCCCTGTCCTTATCTCAACCCACAAGCCTTTTGTCGTATTTTTTTGCCCTGTCCAGCTGAGGAGGGGGAATGATAGAGCAGCTTTGGTGGGCACCTGGCGTCCAGCCAGCGTCAAACCACGTCACCAGTCAGAACTTACCTGTCCCAGAAGAAAATCCTGGGTTTTGAAAGCTGTAATTTTTTATTTCACTGTACCATCTGTCAGCCACATCCTTTCCTGAAAGACAAAAGAAATCTGCTGTGGAATCATGACATAAACACAGATGTGTAGCTCACTTATAGCCTGGCCAGCAAGATCTTCTGTTAATAGTTGGCAAGAACTTCTAGAAACATGGAGAAACAGTCTTTTACTGGAAAGAGTTTTTGAAATGTAGGTAACATGGTAGTACACGTAACTTACCAAATACTTATTGTTTTGCAATAGCTGTTGCTACTCAGTTACTCATTAGTCTGATGCTTTTTGTTAAGCATCTCATGGCATCAATGCCATCAATGCCATCAATGTCTCATGTTCTGCTCGACACAAACACGGTCCATCAGTTCCTCCACCAGAGTGCCAGGAATGCGTGGCCGGCACAGCCTGGCTCAAAGCCTGGGCAGGCAACCCCCGACACAGCTGTGGAATCAGGTCGAGTCCATCCTGCTCAGGGAAGATCTCTGCAGCAAGGTTTTCACCTGGCAGGACAGGGCTGATGAAGAGCACTAGACTGTCACCAACAGATCAGGAGGCAGGACCATCCACCAATTCTTGTCTGTGCTTAAAACTTTACAAAGTTGAAGTTAGAAAAACCTTCGGACAAGAGAGATCTGTGTGCACAGCATTTGGATTGAGATGGGGCAGAAATCCCTTTAGTCCTCAGAGAAACCTCCTGGCAATTTAACACTTTGAGTTTACGTTTTTTTCTGCCCACAGCCTTCTGTAACGTTCAGCCTGGAAGGCAGTGAAGACACATCTCCTTCATCTTGGCTGAGAGCTCCTGTCATTAGTCTTCTCCATGCGGCTTTCACCAGCTCCTCCCTCTTGGAACATGTTTGAAAAGACTTACCAGAGTCTTGCCAGATTTTCTGAGCAAAAGGGCACAGGGACCTTTTCTAGAGGGAGGCCTCCCACCTGTGGATGCAGGTGTATGAGCATATCCCCTCACAGCTCCAAGCAAACCATAGAAAAATGACACTTCTGACATCCTCCAGTTTTCTGTGTTCTCATCAGCATTCAATACCTCAAATCTCTGAGTGCGTTTATTTTTAGTGGTTCTTACTTAGCACTTGGATGTCCACTCTGAGGCACTCTGGCTCGGGGTGCTGTAGTCAGAGACCTCAAACACACACGCTTAGGAGTTGCTGCTGCGTGGGCGTCCAGCACCGGCTCAGCTCGTCAACGGCTGTGTAAGGACTATGACTATGGCCAATGGTGCGGCACCACGTGCCTGTGGGTCTCTAAGGTTGATGTTTGCCAAAGAAATAATCCTTCCTTGTTTTCTGTTGAACAGGTAAGGGACCTGGCAGAAAGGAGGCGATTCTGATACTCTGCAACGGATCCGGTGGAACACACAGCACAGACGGCCTGAGCTCAGACGGGAACTTGCAGATGCTATGTACTCAAAAGTCAAATGTTACTTCTTTTCCATTGCTGGTCGTTAGGAAATTCTTGTGTCAAACATTGGGGGTGGAAAGGGGGCAGGTTTTTCCCTGAGCTACATCAATAATGAAATTTCTGCTGAACATTCCAGGAAGTATAACGCAAGGCCGGTTGATTTCATAGCAAGCTGCCAAGGCTGTTAAGCCTGCCCTCATGAAGAATGCTGGTCCCTGATGGACTGTTGGCTGCAGAACAGCAATGACTCATGTCTTGCTATTTTGCAGCAGAAAGTCTTAAACTTGCACTGTTCTAGGAGTCAGACACTGTGTTAACTACTTTAAACTTCAGTTGCTTATGCGTGCAGTCTGCTAAAAGCATGGCGTTTTTTGCCTGGCAAGGTGGCTGTCAGAGCTGTCACTTAAAAGGAAACACCAAATGAAATGCCATCTCTTGAGAGGTTTGTGAACTGAAGGTACTGAGAACTTCTCTAGGCCACACTGCTTTTTAGGAATGGTGCTTTCTTAATAGACTCAATTTACATTTTCTGCATAAAAAGGTAGCAAAACCTGTCTTGCTTCCCAATGTAAATGTTTCAGAAATAACAATAGGTTCCTTCTTTCCCTGCTCTCCCTGCACCAAACAACAAACCCGGCAGACCTGTTTTATGGCTGAAGTCTGTAACACAAATAAATGTTTGTTCATTTGTTACACTAAAGCTAAAGACTGAAAAAAGTGCAAACAGCAATCTTTTTGCAATATAAGGGGAAAAGAAAAAGCACATAATAAAAAAAAAAACCTAACCAAAACCCCAAGCAGATCATCCTGTCCTGTCCTAGACTTCAAAGCTATGAAGGATTTAGATGTATTTGTGAAATAGATGTACAGAATGTGACTGCAGACATGTCAGATCTCATGAAGCACAGGTATTTTAGGTGTACAAGAGCTTAAGTGACCATACTATGTAAGTAGCATTTTTATGGATATAGGACTGCATTCCCACTGCTACCACCACTTCATTCCCTCTGTTAACATGCCAGTGAGATATAGCATAAAGAGTAGCTCAAGAGAAAGTTATCCTCACTCTGCCTTCTGTAGCTCTAATAAGTGTACCTTGGCTCCAAGAACTTCAAATCTCCATAATGGAAAGGATGGCAGGATACATGGAAGTTTTGACAAACACAGTACCTCTTCATAAATTGGTTGTGTTGATGTTTTTTAATTTAAAGAATACCATTGTGCAAAAATTTGGTAACTCTTTAATTCAAAGGAAATGGCAATGGCATCAGGTAATACCTCAATCCCGTACATGAAAGACAACGAGCATAATCAGGGAGCACCATCTATGATATGTTAATTCCCAGCCTTCGTGGCTCAATGCTTGCAACTTGTTGCAGCCAGGCAGTGAAAGCCTAGAAGCTGATAGCTATGCTCCATTTTTCATGTGCAGGATCAGGTTATCATGATATGGCATTGCTGTCTTCCTCCTTGAATTAAAAGAGTCATTGCATCATAGGCTGCAAGAAATTAGAGACTGACTTGCTCTCGGCAAAAGAGTGGGTGACCAAAGGACTAGGTAACTTTTGATAGACTCTGTCCTGAAATCACATTAAAGAAGTGAAGGGAATGAATTGTATCATCTGTCACGTGCCACAGGAGTTGAGGGGGGTCCTACATGGAAGTCATTACACGAGAAGACAGGTAGGTACCTAGTGATTAAACACTCTCTTTCCTCTAAAATATTTTTCTTCTGCTTCTTTGCGCCTTGGGGAGCAGCAAACAATGTGGCAGTGGGACATAAACCAACCTAGTGTTGAAAGTGACAGCTGAGACACAGGGGACTAAGGGAAAACTCTGTTTTGACCCCCGGGCGTCCCAGGGCCTAGAGAAAATGACCCCAAAGAGAACAGCACAGGGGTCAGCAGGGCACTGAGCAGCAGCTTGCATCCTCAGACTGGCTGGTTCAGAGAACTGACCATAGTTACTCACACTAATTCTGGAATTTCCAGTTCAAATTATTACAGAATAAGCCATGCAGTTATATTTAGTGTCCATTTCCCTTGCATTTCAATGTTTCACTGAAAACAACTCCCACTCCAAAAAGCTCTCCCAAAACAGGGGTTGGTTATTGTTCAGAATGCATTTCAATCAGAAGGAAAGCACACAGAAAAGAAATCTCACTCCCACTCCTCTTCCCTGATTAGGGCAGAAATAATAGAAGTTTACTTCTATCAAAAAGCGTGCAGATCTGTCCTACCGTCAGCGCTGCAGCTTCTCTTCTGTTGTTCCACTTGCAGAACCAATAGCAGATTGCTGTTTTTTAAAAAAATATCCTTCCTGTTTGCATCGCTGTAAACCACATTCACAGTTTCAACACCTTCTCTATGGAAACAGAGTCTGACTCCACCCTTCTCCTAGAGCTAGCTGACTGAGGACCTGCTCGGTCAGACTCACTGATGTTCATTTTGGTACAGGCTGAATCTCACTCTCATGGGTCTCATCAGCACCATGACTCACGGGGCATGCCTACATCGCACAAACACTTGGGGCAACAATCCTTGAATTAGTACCCAAGCATAGTTCTGGCCAAGGCTAGGTCCAGCACAGTGTAGTCATGTTTATTTAGTCTTTGCCCAAGCTACGGGCTACTGACATTGCCGCAACGTCTGATGTCAGTCCATACGTAGGCCCAACAGTCCTGGTTCAAAGTTCTTCAGCTGATATCACTCTCTGAAGGGTGGAGACATAAAAAAGGGCCACTGCATGTAAACAGGTGTCAGTGCTCTTGCCTGGCCATGCCCTGCATCTGATCACTTGTCCTGTTGTCTTATTAAATTTCATTTCTAACTCTTGTCCCGGGCGAGGAGCTCTGTTCCGTGCGGATGGAGGTGGAGGAGGGTGTCTGAGTGCCAACAGCTCCTCTCAGGTGGAGGGTTGCGGGGACCAGGGTGCCTGCAGTGCCAGCAACTGGAGCACCAGGGCGGGTGCCAGCGGGTGAGCGTGATGTGGGAAGAGCTGCTAAGGGAGCGTATGGCTGCCGCAGGGAGAAGGCGGGCCCTGGCCGATGGCCAGAGAGCTGTGTGTGCACGCGGGTGGGGCAGTATATAAAACCATTACTGGAAATATATATTTTAATATCTAATATTGTATTATTTTATTTATATGTATTCTAGTAACAGACTTCATCACAATCAGTCAGAAAGGGGAACAGGATGAGGCCACTGGTGCTGTTCATGTGAATGCTGACTGCCTCTGTCTGTGCTGATCTGTGTGGCCACCTGCATACACACACAGGTACGTGCTGTATGTGTGTGTTTGTATGTGTGCACCTGGGAATACACTCTCAGCCTCACTACTGGGAACACAAGGCCATGTCAGCCCTACTACTGCATTTGGATCCCCCTACCATTTAATTTTGCTGGGCTCAGCCTTACTGTTTCTCCTTAGACTAAAGAATCCTTAAATCTTCAAGTAATCCCACTGAGTAAGTTGCTAAAAATGTTCTAATAAAATCACACAGGACATATTTCTCTGCGAGGATGGGCAGCACCAGGGGGTTCTATTAAAAACTAGGTACCCCAAACCTCAGAATTTTCCTCAAACGTTTTCCTAGCTTTTGTTATCACAACATTCCTTCCACCAGCCTGAGGGGAAAGAAGGTAGAGGTAGATTTAAATTTGCCTCAGAAATAAAATATCTACCTAGATTGAAGCCATACTGATGGTTTTAGGAAGTAATCCTCTACTTCCAGCATTCCTCATGCAGACGCTTATTTTGTTTTACTTTATTTTATTTAGCAGTGCTATATAAGCCTGGTGTTGGATAGCGAGAGATGCGTGAAGGCAGGCTCTCAGTCAGAGTATGCTCCTGCAGGACCGGGGCAGAGGGTGTCTGTGCCGCTCTAGTCCCAGTCTGTAGGCAGAGCCAGATTCCTCCCATAACAGATCTGGGTGATAACCTGCCGTGAACTCTCTAGATTTCAGAAGCTGCAGTGTTTTCACAGGCAACATGGCACGTTCTTCATGACCACACCAGCCGTCCCAACCAGGATTTAGCCATCCAGCACTTGTCTTCAGCCTGCCGGCACATGAGGAATGAGACGAGGCATCCCGAGAAGCCTGACACACTGCAGCTGCCGGGGCAGGCTGTGGTCTCGCGTATTAGTGGTGGATGACAGCTCACTTATTTGAAAACAGACAAAGAGAAATCTGCCACGGAGCGGTTCCTGCAGGACTGGAGGGAGGAAACAGCTGTCAACTATTTCTTGGATTACAGTGATAAACATATTTCCAGCGACAGCTTTAGGCTACGTAACTCTAAAGTCCTGAATACAATTCAAGGTATTCTTGTACCAGGAGAGGGGTCAAAATAGAAGGATCTGATAGCTGAAAGCTTAAATCTTCTCTGAGAGAAGAAATGCATCTCCTGACATGATTACAGAACTCAGTAAGACCCAAAACGAAAAACAGCATCACTTTTTAGAGAGAATACGGTGCATGCTGGAGGTTTATTGAGTTTTGCTCTATCTGGGAGAGAAACCGGAAGACACTGCCTGCCTTTGTTAAGCCCTGGAATGGATGCCTTAATACGAATTTCAGCCTCATTGAGCAGGGTACAAATTCACCATCCAAAGGCAACTGTATGAGAAAAAGAGGAAGAATGAACCAGCTCCACAGAGATGAAGACCAAGACCAGACAAAAGAATAACTTTCTTTGAAGAGCTAGTTTTCCCATTCTGGTACTTTGCATGATCCAGCTATATAGGAAATGTAAAAGTGTTTTACAGAACAAAAGAGGATGTAGCTTAATTTTCTCAGCAAGACATTCAATCCTGTGGATAAAAAAATAGCAACAAAACTGCTCAAATCTGGCAAGTTATGTATGGAAATAGTGCATTGAAGACAACAAATGGGATCCAGAAAAAGACAGGCATTTGTGCTTCGTTTCCAGCTCTCTAGATGGGAATTCCGTGACTTCAACCTCGGGGGAAGGAGCACAGGCCATTAACACAAACAAGAAAGAAGAAGAAAGCTCAGTCAGTGAGTCATAGCCACTATGCAAACTTTGCCGTACATCTGTGTTTTCCCAGGCTGCTCTGAACCTTTGCCTCAGACTCTTGCAATGGGCAGAATGCCAAATATGAGTTGATCAAATCGTATTTTTCCACCCGAGGTTTCTTTTTCAACATGAAAAAGCACCCATTAGGGACTAGAGTTGGCACTTGCAGAGGAACCAAGCAGTATCTCTGGGTCTAAAATTCACTTACTAAAATTTCCAGGTCCTTCAAACAGGGCCTACAGCTTGTCGAAACGAGCTTCTGTCTCCCCAAGGCTATGCTGGAAATTCCAGGGGTCGGTGGTAATAAAGCAAGCAAGTGGTCACTTTTAATACACCCCACCTGCTGCCTCAGCAGGCTAAGACATGAGCCCTGCCCGCTGGAGGAGGCAGGAGGGAAGAGCCTGCTGAGCATTGGTCCGACTAAGGGCTCACCGCAGGCTGTCCGCCTGCCCAAAATTCAGCTCCTCAGACACCCAAACCAAAGCCTGCCAGTTACGTGTTAAGTTTATGATCAGAAGGTATATGGAGTATTTTTTGTCTGCAAAAATGAAAGCACGGCAAAAGGCTCAAAGCCTGTCTGCTGACAGAGCAGAAGGGACTAGATATCTCACACATTAGCCTCTGCCACTTCAGTGTCCGCTTTCCCTGTTTTTGCCCCCACAAAGAGGAACTGCTGTGTAGTACTTGGTGGCTATTTTTCCACCTTCCTCACCACAGCTGGCCTGTGGTCAGCCCTCTCTTTGGCTGGGACAAACTAAGGATAAAGGTGAAGTACAGGGCATTGACGGCTTTCTTCTCTCCTCCCATGGACGTACAAGTAGCACTGGAGACAGCTTCACAGCCAGGACACATAGAGCAGCCCAGCTGCCAAGCCTGGCCTCCAAAACGACATAGCACCCTACTGCAGTCCCTTACCCCCCTCCGTGCCTACACAAGCTCCTTGCTCTCAGTACACATAGGTGACTGCAAGCCACCATCTTGTCCCCAGGAAGCCTGGGCTGGGCTGTGCTCTACGCATTTTCAAAGCCAAGGAAACGCCAGTAGTCTTGCCACCAGATGCTCTGAGTCCAAAGTACATGAGACAAGCCGTTTATCCAGTGTCTGTGAGCGAGCAAGAGAAGAAAACTTACCTGGTTGGTCATAGGATGCCCATGCTAGGTTTTCTCCACATTTTCCATTAGCAGACTCGGAGCTGTGTTTGAGGACCCTTGTGGTAGCCAGTTCTTCTGCATACCTAGTAAAGGAATCCACACATCGAGTCACGGACCGCAGCCACAGTGAGCAGAGAGGAGGAGCAGCAGCAGGAAAAGGAGGAGATGCAAGCAAGGAATTCTGCTGGAAGATGATGGTTTAGACCACGTTACCTAGCTGCAAAGCCCTGAAGCCAGGGATACTTTAAGTTTACAGAGATCTAGCAGTTAGGCAAAGGGAAGGCCTAGAGGTCATTTTCCTTGTATCTTTCATGAGCACCTGTGTCACTGCGAAGAAGGGCTTAGAAGAAATCAAAGGGCAGATCTCCCCCCACTGTGTTCTGCCCAGCACCTGGAAATCCACCGGCCATCCTTCACTGCTGGGGGGAAAGAGAAGTACCTGCAGCAATTGCTACAGGTGCAACCTCCTGACATATCTAGGCCCCCACAGGAGCAACTTCAACGTTCTCAGGGAGACGGAAAAAAGACCAACAGGGGGATTCAGTCAAAGCAAGCGTGAGAAAACCTACATTTACAAAAGAAAAAACACGCTAACCAGGAGCAATGTGCCAGGTGACAGTATGGAAGAGAAGGGGACCACACAGAGGATCTGAAGCAAGAACTGTGTACACCAACACAGGGATAAGCAGCACTGTTTCTATAGAAGTTGACGTGTGAGAGCGTGGGATGTATTTTATTGTCTTATGACAATAGGGTTAAGAAGAACATCATGTGTAAAACAAGTATTCTCTTTATTCAATATTGGAAAAGCTTCAGTACAGAGACAGAGAAACTGGGAAGACCATTTGTTATTTCTCACGGCACAAGAAATAGGAGGCAATACACAGAATCATCAGGTCGTAGATTTAAAAGTCAAGTAAGACAAAGCACTTTTTCCACCCTGTGCAGCAGAGGTCATTGCCACAGGATGATGCAGGCACCAAAGCGCATGTGGGTTCGAAAAGGAGATAGACAAATTCACAGTGTGTGTATGTTGGGGGGGAATCTTCAGGGCTTATTAAACAATAGTAACAAAAAAAATGAGGATACAACCTACTTAGGAAAACCGTAATTTCCAGGAGAAATCTGTGATTTCTGGGAGAAGATAATGGAGGAAGGATCACTACATTTATTTTGTCCTGCTACTCCTTCCCTCGTCATGAATTACAGGCATCTGCCAGAGACAGGAAATTTGTCCAGCTGAACATTTTGGCCCAAGCTAGTACTTCAGTCATTACGTTCTCATTTCCTTCTGTCCTAATCCTCCCACCAAAACAGGAAAAAAAAAAAAATGTAGCTACCTCCATTATATTTTGAAATAATGAAAACCTGTCAGTGATCAGCCTGCTAGATCCTGAACTAGGGGATCTCTAGCTGCTCCATCATGCCCTATATCACTACCGTCTTGTAATTTTTCTCTTGAAGGATTCCCACATCCCAGGCAAGAGGCAAGACTGGAACAAAGTACACATTGCACACGGACAAAGTTGCCAAGGATTCGAGACAAAGGGTGATTAATTCGCTCTAGCTCAGGCAGTTGAAAGCATGAGATTCGCATCTGAGATCATCCCCTATGCTTCATTACAGTCAGAGATAAACAGACACCTGCTGAGGGTGACTCATCTCACGCTAAAGCAGGGATCCAATAGTCAGTTCATTTAACCTGTCGCAATTATTTGAGCCAAAAACAGTAGGAAACAGATAGAGAAGCACAGAAAAGTACCCAGAGATACACCAAATATATACCAACAAAGACATCAGGTATACCTAAAGAAAAGTTGAAGTTCTTTGAATTTAAGATTATGCAAAACCTGTGTTGATAAATATGATATTTCTTATATAGTTCATGTCCTTTATTCAGATCAAACCATTTCCACCTCTTGCTGTCAACCAGTTTCACCAGTGTCTGAACATGTGTCTTGTAATTCTTACAAGTCAAGTTACAGACCACAACCAAACAAAGGCTTCCTATTGTTATTCATCACAGTGGGGAAAGTCAGCTGAGACCAGAGAGGACTGTGAAGAATTCCAGAAGGACCTAAAAATACCCAGCAAGGGCAACAGCACACTTAAGAGATAAATGTGGAGCAATGCATATTTGACAGAATAATCTGAACTATTCATACAAGTTGACTTGTTCAAACCAGCTGTGGCACTTTGGAGACAGAACAAGTGCTTATTGACATGTGAATTAAATTTCTTCCTCCTTGTGAGGCATCATGCAAAACAGAAACAAAACAACCCTTTGAAGAACAGAAGGAAAACCCCAGCAGATTACAAAGGTATGTGGATGAGTCACTGGCATCTCTTAGAAACACTGCATCCAGTTATCATGGTGTCTCAAGAAAAAACAAAAAAATGAAAAAATAAAGACCAAGTCAGCTTTTGCTTGCTGCCTTGGCACTTGTACAGCACAACACCTAGCCGAGATCTCTGGTCTAGGAATGCGGGAGCTGGTGTGTCTGTGTGACAGTGCAGCACCATGCTGGGACAATAAATCAGGTTCCGGCAAGGCTACAGCCTCTCTGGCCCCCAGCCAGCCAGCACAGAGCAGTCTGCATGGTTATGGTAGAAAGCGCAACGGGAGATGAGATCTCATGTCTAGAGGGATCAAACTGTCCACTGTTTAGCTATTATGGAAAGGTGTTTGTTTTCTGAATAGTTTAACCAGCATTTACTGCTTCAGCTATCTCCTTTGTACTGTGAGGATCAGCCTGAAAAAGTTGAGGATTCTCAAATCTACTTTGAAAAAGGTTGCTGTAAAGGGAAAGGAAATAATCCGGTTGTCACATGTACAGCAAAGAGGACAAGCAGTAATGGACTAAAATTTCTGTAAGGAAGACTAAAGTCAGACAGCAGGAAGATGGGTCCACTGTACGTTAGACTGACAAGAAGTTGTGCAGTCTTCAGCACTGCCGAAGAGGTAAGATGTGTCCCTCCTGACAGACTAGAGAGCAAGGTATACTGATTTTGCTTTCGGGGCATGGTGACAGACGATTTGATCTGAAATTACTTCCCTCTGATTCCATTGATCTTAGACCAGTCATCACTTCCTATCATGAATAAGTTTATTTTCTCCACTATTTCAGAAACAGTGGATATTCTCCTGCAGATGACAATCTGTCATCTGACAGAGGTGGTGGTGAAGCATGTTTTAGGCAACTACCCTCTGCAGAGGAGACACAGCAGTGTAGACAGATGCAGCCCATGTCTGGAAAAGGGTGCAAGAAAGATTTATACAGTTGTGACCACAGAAGTGCCCATGTGACCAGCTGGTGCTATGTGATGGAGAAAGAAGGGACGGGAAGAGTTGGGTAGGGAGACAGGCAGAGTCGAGTCCCTCACTTTCCACCCAGTAAGTCTTCACTGAATATCGGCACGTCAAAAGGCAAATACTTTTGCAGTATGCACAGTCAACTCTGATGGAGAAGAGTGCCACAAATCTCAGTAGAGAAAAGAAAGGACTGAACTCACTGTTGGGCTCCTCTGTTTAACTTCTTGCAGAGTTTTAATGGGGGGACTCCGTGTTTCTTCCTGTAGTCATTGTGTGCTTTCAAGACTTCTTCAGCAAATTGTTTGGAAGCTGAAATCACATCAAAAATATTGGAAAGGTCCGTCAAATACAGATGTCAGTGAAGACAGAAAAAGCACACCCGGTAGCTAAGATGCTGTTGCAGGCTGGACTGAAGAACAGACGCGTACAACCCTCATTACCTGGGAGTAGGACACAATGAATCGTTAATGTCTTCCATCCAGGAGCTACCTCTAAGAGACACTCCTAGTGGGATGGTACGGACTCACTAAATGTTGAAGAAAAATGTGAACCTTATTCCTTTCCTCAATAGCAAGGTGATTTATGGTTAGTTTGGCTGACTTTCATTTTAAGATTTCAGCTCACTGCACCACTATTGCAACGAAGTCTCAGAGTAAACGACAAATAGGTCCTTTGAGGAGATGTACTAAAAATGCAAATTATTGTCACTGCATGCAAGAATTTTCTGCATTAGTCAAGACACCACCTAAAGAAAACAGGAGTACTAAAATGTGTAGAACTACACAAATACTTTCAAACACACGCCGTTCTTTTTATTCATTATGTAGTACAAATTCACAGGAATCTCAAAATGCACCTTTATTTGGCTCGAGGGAAATAATCGTTCACAAACAGCAAGTGGTAAGGAAACAAACGACTGCTGGGGATGATTTTTTTTCCCCTGTGCTAGAGTGTATGTGGTAAGTATTTGAATTCCAAAGTTACTGCAAAGCTTTAAAAGAGTTCATGGGTGTACCCTGGTAAACTTGGGACTTGCAGCAGCACAAGGCAGAGGACAAGCAACAAGTCACAGTGCAACTGACTTGGACAGCAATTTCATGTTATCTCCTTTTATCACTTTGCTGATTTTTCCCAAGATTCAGAGGACAAAAAAAATTTCCCTGTCAGTGGTCACTCGGTGGAATTTGCTGCTTTCAGAGAAATTTGAAACCTGAAACAGGTTATTGAGACAGTTAGAGAGATATGGATAGCATCTTCAAAACAGAAAGACAGTTTTCACTTTCTCTGTATTGCTGAAGCTTCTGAACAGGCCAAGACATCTTTGAGTATTTACTCCACCTTTACTATGACACAGGTTTCTACATTTATTAATGACTCATCAGCTTTATTTCTGAATATCCTAATTAGCGTGACTACCATCATTTTCCTTGTAAGACACTTTTGAAGCCCAAACAGCCTTCATGACTAGAAAGTGTTTCCTGTTATTAAGCATAGCTTTCTCAACTTCCTCTCACTGCTCGATCCTAACAACTATAATCAATCATTCTCTCCTTTATTAGCATGTACACTATTCTGCTGCTTGTAATGGTGCATTTTCCCACAGTAGAGCTGTCAGTTTGCACATACTGCTCTCGTAACTTCTTCCTAAGGTGATTACTCAACTCACGTTCATGCTTTAAGCTGTTCTCAGTTCTCTGCAGTTTCCCCAACAGCTTTAGAGTAACAAGGCAGCCTAAGATAATCTCAATATCCAATGCACTTAGAAACCCATCACTGTTTCATGCAGTACCTTAAATGTTTTGACAACAGTCTGCTGTTGGGTTAACCTTTTCCAGACAAAAATATCATTGTGGACATATATCTAATATCATCCATCAACATGCTTTCAGGCTAGATTTTTTCTGGTGAAAAATTCTTGGCATAAGACAGCTAAGAATTCA